ATACTTTAATTAAGCGAATAAACCTCCGCTACATTTCAGAATTCAATTAACCGAGTGTCGCAATTTCACGCCTTCCCCTCTCCGATCCTTGGCGCTGACCGAGCTGTCCGGCAGGCGGAAGGCCGGGCGAAGCCGAAAGAAAATCGGCTCCGTTACACTGTGATTTTTAATTAGACCCGATAGTGTCTATCTCTCTGTTTCCGATAACAGGCGCGACGATGTTTTCCATAAATTCTAAAACGAGATAAAGCGATCACGAGACGTTTCGATTGCAGTAGTAATCTGACATCTCTCTCTCGTCTTCTTTTTCTTCATCGCATCTAATTTTATTTTAGCTCGCTGCTAGCTCAGTGTCAAGTTTCAAGTTTACGTTTCAGGTTTTTGCAGGCCATTCTGCAGCCGCGCGCGCGTATGCAAGGCACGTAAATGTATCAAGGCACGCGCGCTCATTATAGATCGCGATACACGCCCCTCGATCAAGTGCACTGTACGTAACTAAATAAAAACGTAAACGCCCGATCTACATGCGTGTTACGTAAAAATGTGCCCTTTCCGATTATGTAAAATTTAACCTTATAACATAGCGTTGAATGTGAAAGAGAGAGAGAGAGAGAGAGAGAGAGAGACAGAGCCGCATTTAGAAATCGCGCAATGATCGCGCACTTTGCCACCGAACAACAATGCGTATCGCGCGTAAGTACGTTCTCGTTGCTACTAATAATACACTTATTTATTCGCGAAAACTCCAACGTGACTAATAATTAGGTCATTCTTATCTCTCTCGCGAGTTGATAGATGCCGAACAAAGACTGTAAATGCAAAGTACACAATGTATTATGAAGTTTGCTGATGCGCGGTGGTAAATCTAACCGCCTCTTTCAGATAGACGAACTTCGAAAAGAAAACCAAATCCAACGAACATCCGAGAATTGTTCGTCATCCGGGAATTTAAACTTTCATTTAGATTCCGCGGCGTGCGTTTCGCGATCCTCGAAGACGCACGGACGGGGATTGCGCGTCTCAATAAGTACGCGACGTCGATCGACGATAAGGATTCCGGAGGCGACTGTCCGATAACCCGTTTTCAGAGCGAAGGAGATTGTAGCAAACGCGAGAGAGGCGCGCCGCAACTCGTTTTCGACGTTTCCGAGCGCGCGGAACTGGTGTAACAGTAGCTCGACCCGTGACGTAACGACGACGCGTCATAAGAACAGCGAGAAAAAGACGTCGCTGCCGTCTAATCTCGCCGGAAAAAATCGGGAAGGAGACGAACGAATGTCGTCTCGATCTCAATCTTCGACGAAGATTCCACCAGCTCGGTCGAAATCGCGGGAACGACCATATGCCGAGAGAGAGCCGGTTAGAAGTGGCGGGATCCGCGTGAACGCTGCACGTGCGTTTCTATTAACGCGACGTCAAATCGCGCACAAAATCGTCTCATAATCCCGGTCTCAAGCGTTACGACTTTGCGATCCCGTTCAATCTGGCGGAATGCGACGCGACGATATGGAGAACGACGGCGTAATCATTTTAGCATAATTTGCTGAATTCGGAAAATGTCTCATGAAGCTTGTTTATTTAATCCTTAATGACTATCGTGAGTGAAGTTTCACTCCATGCGAATTTTGTTTTAATGTTTAATTAAAAAACGTAACCACCGGCGAGAGAGAGAGAGAGAGAGACACTGATTTTATGGGTATCATTTACACAATCACACTTTCTTTGACAACTTTTTTATTTCTAAAACATAAACAAATATATACTGGAGTAACATTTTAGCTATTAATGTGATTTTGTACGATAGCTTTTAAGAGTTAAAGATCTTGCAGAGAAAAATGTCATCAATCCATTTGTAAAACTTAGAAAAATATTTTTTAATTAGAGAAATTTTACTTCGTCAAATCTAATCTGGCGGAGTTATATTCGTACAGCAGTTATGTTTATACAGCAGAAATGTTTATTAACACACTGTTACGGATAAAAAATTAACTACTCTGGCTTATGTCCATGCGTTCGATTTAACTCTCACTTACCACTTTGTTCTTACGGGGATTCGCGTGTCGTCAATTTCCTCACGCGTTCTTCTCTTCTTGCGTTTCCGCTCTCACGCAATTTCGCGGCGTTTTTTCCTTTTCGTCTCCCCGACGAGGCCGGTTGGCGACGCGCCGGCGAACCACGCGTTCAATCGTGCGCGCTATTTTCTCATCCGCGATGAGCCATGACGGTATTTTCAAAACAACGCGAAGAGGAAAATCTCGCCTACTTTCCCGCCTTTTCTTCTCCGAATATTCAAAAACACTGCTGTACCAATTGAATATCTTCTTCAATGCGCGCGCGTATTTCGAACAGAGCCAGAACGGTTTTGAAGAGAGAATTATTAAACGCGCGCGTGACGATTTCGATTGAACGCGGTATCCCGTACGTGACAGATAAGATGGATAAAGCTCGCGGTTGCTCGCCTGAGAGAGCCGTCGTCGTTCAAAATTTCCTCTCGCTCGCTGGCCGGCGACTCGCTCGCGAAACAGAAGAGAGACCTCCCGCGCGATTTTCTCGCCGACGTCGAGCCCCCTCTTGCGTTATTCGCGAGTGGCGCCTGGACGAAAGTGCGAGTTGCAGTTGCGCGCGCGACACGTTATCTCGCCCCGCTCTCTTCATTTCGCGCGCGCACGAGAAAAAGAAACGGTGAAACAACGTGCGCCAAACACATGTTCGATTATATTTCTATATCTGTCTAACCGAAAGCGAAGGATAATCCTTTCAGTTATTTTCTCAATATTACCGAGGATTCACACTCCCTGGTGACGAACGTTCTGCGTTTGCGCGAACCGCGATCTCGCGTCGTAGCGATGTTTCAATTTCGATTCTCTCGAAATAGCGCGCGAGAAGCGGATTTAACTAGTTTCGATACACGCGGGTAGAGATTTATGAAGCAAGTCTCCGCATCGATATGACCCGAAATTGCATGATTAAAGTGTACAACTAAATGAAAAAATAAAGATTGTTTGTCGTACGTCTCCTCAAACTGGAAAATATTAACATTTAAAATTAACAAGAGAAAAAATCGTATCGTATTTCATTCTAATAATAATAATAATACAAAAGAGACGTTTGTAATAACAATTTATCTGCAATAATTTACAAACGTATTCTACCGGGCGCGAGAGCCTCGCGTGAACACACACGTGGAAATTTAATTTATCTTCACGTGTGTTGCAAGCGTAAATTTACTGCTCATGACGTTATAATCCCTGCAAGTCGCAACGCAACGACAAGCCGCAAGGAACATAAATCGACGACGATGTCGTGTGAAACGAAATTCACAATAAACAGTTCGCGTATTGCAGCAACACAATAGCAGTAGTGAATTAATACAATAATTTATTGCTGTGACAGTTTACTTCCGATCTATTATTTACATGCGCGATAAAGCAGCTTTGATCGTATTTACACATATGTATATGTATATGCGCCTAAACGTTAGAAAGAGAGAATCTCGAAGAACTCGACTGCGAGAGGAAGTGATGGGAATCGCATCACGTGACCACGTGATTCCTCACGGACACGTTCTGACGACCATTATTGCGGGATGGTGTTTTTGATGATGCAAAGAAATGAAAGAGTCAACGCAAATGGATTTTTGTTTTCAGTAATAAAAATTCATAATTCCTCTCTTTTCAATTTTCGATAAGCGTCACCTAATACATTTGTCCTTCTTTTGTACCACATCGTATGCCGCTGTACATTCGCTGAACGAGCGCGCACATCAAGCTTCGTTCTGTGCGCCTCGTACGCATACGTACTTACGTTCCCGGGGCGCGCACACATATCGAACGTGAGTGCGTGCACGCGCGTGCGAAATGTCACGCGAGCACCGCGTCGAGAGAAAGAGACAGATAGAGAAAAAAAAAAAACACTATTTATATAATGCAAAATTCCGCATTCAAGAATTTTCTCGTCGCGCGTGCACACGTGACGTGTACAACATTTATACATTTTTGTTACACGCGGATGGTAATATAAGGCGCGAAATGCGCGCGCCCGTCCGCGCGGTCTCGCGTTCGATCGCACAACACACATACACACACACACGCAGCTTCCTCCCGATCACTATCGTGAAAACATAACGTAAGTATAACGTGCGTTTTACGTAATTGTACTACTCGGTAATATCGTAATCGTGATAGCGATAACAGCAAGGCGGCGATGAATAAGTAAATTAACGATTGCTGATGATTTTTTTGTTTTTTTTGTGTGTGTTATTATCGATGTACAGAGCACAATGAATTAGTTTTTTCTTCATTTCCTATATTGTTTCTAGATTTTTCTTCCTCCGTTCTTTACGATCGCGCGTCGCAGCGATTACGATACATTTGTATTATGTACAATGCACACGGTGTGTAACATTTTGCCTCTCTCGAACAAGGTTCGCAACGGACTTTTGTCGTCTATGTGTATACATGTAATAAAATGTACGTATATATGTACACATATATACACACACACACATACACATATATGTATATATATGTATATATATACATATATATATATACACATCTGACGGTTCTTTATCCATTCATCTGCAAAAAAACAAATTCTGATATTAACCGATTGAGAGAAAAGATAGTTGCGAAAAATATCTATTTGTGACTATTCGGGGAGCTCGAACATGGATCACTCGCTGTTGCGAGCGAGCGATTTGCCGATTTAGTTTACTGGAGGCACGTTCAGTTTACTAAAGATATTTCTCGTAAATTGATATTTTTCGTAACGATCTATTAAAATTAAGCTCGAAAATTGCCGACTCACGCGCGCATTTTAATCAGGTGTATACGTATGTACATATACGTGTATACATACTATGTGTATACGTATATACATATACATATATATACATATATGTATGTATATATATGTATATACTCGTTATATATACGTAATAGGCGTACATTTTGCGATACACTAATTTATACTGTTCCGATACCGCGATCTGTATTATAAAATTAATTCTCTATGTATAATTCGCACGCGAGAAAGTCCTGCAATCGTTTGTCTTGTCGCGTGGAACAATCACGTCACACACAGTGGTGATTTTAGATCTAGGTGTTCAGCCGAATAAAAATCGAATCACAATATTTTTGACTAAAATCAATTATTCATTGATTTTGTTTTCGATACCGATATTATTAAGTAAATTAATTAAATTAATTAATTAATTAATTAGATTATAAATTAAATTTGTACACACGCACACACTAAAATAATACATGCTTTTATATCAAATATATCACTTTGATATGAATGTATATACATTCTGTATATTCATTAGATATATATATTCTATAAATATATACATTCATATAGCTGCAATGCAGTTTACAAAATGTAAAGATATTTTTAAGTAATTCTTAATTCTTAATTTATTATTCTTTTTTTTTTTTGTTAAATCACATTATTGCTTTTCTGTGCTTCCCTTTTTTTAGGAACGTTTAGAAAATATACAATGGTTTTTACAATATATTCATCAGCCGGAATACTTGCTTCCCACTTAGATTACTAGAAACCACCACACAGTGCGTCAGTCGGAATTGGTTTCGTGTTACTTACTGGTGTGCTTCGTAAAGCGCTTTTTGCAAAACAATCATCAACTAAACGACAACTAAATTCCATTTATACAAAAACTAGCTGTGGCAGACGCGTTCTCTTTCATACATTAATCAAATAATAATCCTCTGTTTCAAATAATAAATGTATTAATAATTAGTTCATCTAACAGTGAGTTAATTGTTGCTCTCTTAATGTGTATATTAATCCACACAAAATAAAAATCCACAAAGTAACCTCATTAGACGTCTAATTAAATATTGAATAGAGTTGTGAAATGGATATTTAATAAGATTTTTATTCTGTGTGGAAATAAAATCGCAACGAGACTGCAGCGAGCAGAGACCTCGTAATTTTCACGACAGCTTAATTCTATATATTCTGTTATTATCTCGTTTCGTAATATTCTATATAGAGTATATAGAGTATATAGAGTACATAGAGTGTATACTTTATATACTCTATATATACACGGTTCATTCTCTGCGCACCATTATCAGCGCGATGACATGGTGTGTCGCGTAAATTATTATTATTATTATTATTATTATAATTCACACACATTCTTCCTCTTCCGCTTATTTATATATATATATATACATTTGTCGCGAGAATATGCAAGAAAATATTTCTCTGAATTGTGAATTAATTCAAGTTGTATATCTTTGGATGCGGCCAAAAATAGATTTAACTAACACGAGTCCGTAGGTGGGATTCTTCCGGTGGATCAAAGACGGCCAATCGCGGTGTAACCGTTGATTAGACTTGAAAAATGTCATTGTTGTTTCTTCGAACGACAATCATTACCGCGAAAAACAAAACCTACGTACATATTAAAATTAATAAAATCGATACAGTCTACTTTACGAATATATTATATACAAACAACTTAATATACGACACGTTACTTAAGTAACAGGTGTTATCGCGCCTAATAATGAATGATTAAAAAAATACATGTATTAATAATATAATTAATACAATATTAATACATTAATTAATATATGTATTAATATATATATTTAATATACACATCACAAAAACGTCATAATTAAAAAACGTGCGTCCAATCATCAACGTATTGACCGATCCTTGTTCCAAGCTACATATATTACAATTCCTATGATGTAGATTAATAATTTATTCAGGATTACTCGATATGCATGTGCAAGAGCATTTTTTTAGTTTAATATTTTTTTTCTTTCTTTATCTATACATATATATGTGTGTATATATATATATCTTGTATATATATACATACATACTGTTTGATCGATACTGATTAGGTTAATAAAACACTCTATCTATATTGTTCACTAGTACATGTAGGCAACTAAGTATCTGTATACCTGATGGCATTTTCATAATATTGCTTGTAAATTTTCAACTACAAAAAGAAACAAGAATTCAAGAGTTTGTACACAAGGAATTCTAATTGTTAAGTACAATAAAAATTCCATCAGGTACCGCCACTAATTTGTGCTTCATCGATTAAGTATATATAACAAAGAAGTACGTTTCTGAGACCTCAAAATAGCAGCCCTATCACAGTGTGGCTCGGAGTGAAGGCGATTTTTTGTCCATTTGAAAAACGACCAAGAAGTACTTTATAAAACAGACTCTATTTGCTTGATCTCCTTTTCGGGTGGGTCCAAAGGTGACGGCGCAGTTTCCACTATCTCCGGTATTTCGTCCTCGTTTTCTTCTTCGATATCCTCGTCAATAGGAGTGAGGGCATCTAATATCACAGGTTGAGTCTTCGAAAAAAAAAAAAATAAACAAAGAATTTCATTTGTGGAACATTCTATCAACGTATTTACAACGCAGTGTAATTTTTAATAGGTCATGTTCTCACCTGCGGTGTGGTGCACCGTTTCATAGCAGGGGCCATGAAACTAGTAATGGTGCTTACAAGGAAGAAGAACCCTGCCATGAAAAACGGGATGCTGTAACTTTGCGTCGCATCGTAAACCGCGCCCGCTAAGGGTGAGCCAACTATAGCGGCGGCGCCTCTGAAGAGAATTAAAAGGCCGAAAGCGTTCGTTAGCTTATCTAATCCCAGAAGATCCACCAGGATGATTGACGTTAATGAGATATATCCAGCTGAAAATTTGTAATTAAAAAATATAAAAGAAATATTCAAACTTTCGAACCTCCGCAGTCAAAAAATTGGACGTTCGCAGTTGAAACCTGAGAGATCGAGAGAGTTTCAACTGCGTTTCAAAACAAAAAGTGAGGATACTTACATATTGCTATTCCAAAAAATATGCTCATGGCAATATAAGCGGCGTAACTATGGCAGAATGGCGTGGAAGCTACCGCGACGGTAGATATAATTAAGCAAATGTTGTTCAACAATAAGGAGTCTACTTGCGGGAAGTCCGCGACGTAACCACATGCCACACGACCTATGGTGTTTGTTATTCCGATGATCGACAGCAAGAAAGACGCAGAGTTGCTTTCGATTCCCTTAAAAAAAAAAACAGAAACAAAGTCATTGAACAATATTCTGTAACAATCTAATGTAATAAAGATTAAGAATCAAAACGCACAAATAACGAACAAATAACTTACATCTAAGACTGCAGCATCCACCAAGTATACAAAGGGAACATACAATCCGGCCATACCAAACACGTTGCTAATACCGATCAAAAGAAAAACAGGATCCTTCAACAAGGACATGTCCATCATAGTCGCTAGAGCTTCCTTGAATGAGTCTGGTAGGACCAAACAAGGACACAGAGGTTCTGCAAGACAAAAAAATATTCACATCAGTTTCGAAATAGAATTGAATTTGTATCATCGCTTGATGAGCGTCCGATGATGTGTACATACGTTGCGGCGCTTTCTCCACATCGGGGTCTTTCAGGTTCAAGTCTCCACGCATGGACTTTGGGATAGATATAACGCTCTGACGATAATTGGCAAGGGATTTCTGGCTTTGGTATTCTGGTAAATTGACTACGCTACCACTGTAGAAAATATCTTTTCTCGACAAGGGACGGACGATCAGTGGCTTCTCCTTTGGGATACTAGTTTTACTCGTACTAAAGGTAATACTCTCGCCGTCCTGCAACAGATGCGCGCTGTATCATCATGTCGGTATTATTACGAACAAAATTTGTTCCGAATTACGTTCAATTTTTGTCACTTACGTCAACCTCAGCGTTGTTGTTACGCGATCCCAGCATACTGCTCGTGGATAATCTCAGATGCAGACTCTTTCTGATATCTCCGTTTGAGTTTAGCGTCGTCCTCGAGTTCTTTATTGCACTAAGGCTAGGCTTGTATCGCTCTCCCGTGCTCGTTTTACGGATTCTATCGAAAAATGGCACTGAGCCGTTTTTAGGCAACCCTTGAACGTGAGTTGTAAAAGCCGGCTGGGACGCGTTTCTGGGGAGTACCGCCTTGTTAAACTCGCTCTCCGGTTTCTCCGCGTCTTTTATCGTATCTTTGGTTTCGTCGATATTCTTCTTGCTTTTGGACTTGTTAGAGCTGTTCTTCAGGTCCAGATTGCTGCCGCTGTCGCTGGTGTGTCCACTGGAAGAGTGCTCGTGCACCTTCACTTCAGATATAGTGGGGAGGGTTGGCACCGTCGGAACTGGTGTTAAAGGAGTTCCTTTAATATCACGGGTATTCAATGAAGCATATATCATTTTTTTTATACCGATCACGCACGAATCACGTGATTACCAAACTGACGACATGAGTTTGGTAATCATCAGGACTCGAAGCGAGAGGAGTCCCTTACCAGGCACTAATTGATCTAAATTGAAGCTGGAATGAACACCGGGATCAATATTGATAGGCATCTTCATTCTCTTTTCCATGGATCCGTCCGGCAGCTGTACCATAAAGTACGAGCCGCCGATGCTGCCGCGTTCCATCTGAAACCTCTTCTCCTCGGCCATTCTTTGTAACAACGGCTTGACGGACGACGCTTTGGGGTACTCGAGGGGTCTCATCAGAGCGCCGAATACCTAAAAATCATCTATTGGAATTATCAGATATACGGAATGTCGATCTCGATTCGACAGCGCTCTGTGTATATCACTCCCTTTTTTGCGGCGAGAAGCAGCGAGCGAGAGAGAGAGAGAGACAGATCTCTCTCACAACTTACCGCGCAGTTAAAAATAAGGCCTGCGAGGATCAGATTCGCTCCCTTCCAGCTGTACGTTTCTAGCAGCATGGTAGCAAGCGGTGCGAACGCAAACGTGCCGAATCCGGAGCCGCATACAGCGATACCAGTGGCCAGTGATCTCTTTGTTTCAAAGTAATATCCTACGCAAACCACTGCGGGAAGATATATCAAACCGAATCCGATCCCTGAAAGGAACAATCGCGGTGAAGAACAAGAGCGAGAATTGCGGCGAGGAGTGTCTATGTACACGTCGAACGTGAATAATATTACGCACCTCCCATTACACCGTACGTCAGCATGAGCATGTTAACGCTACTCGAAAATATTGATAGTACAAATGCAGCGGCGCCTAAGAAACTTCCTGCCATACAAACAGCTCTACAGCCATATTTATTCGTTAAAGCACTAACAACAGGACCTACGGGATAAAAGGGAAAAGTTAATACATATATAATTAATACGTGTATATATATTGTGCATTTTTTTTCCATAAGTAAGACACATCGATAACGACTATGTATAAACGTATATTTTTAATTTCTTCTTAATTTTAATACAAGTCTTATATCAGAAGCCATTATAATGTAAACAGTCGCATTATGTCTCTTTTCTGTGAAGATAAAAGCGTACACGCGAGAAATAAGTATATATATTATATTGTGAAATAACAATTTTTTTTTATATTAAGTATTTCAATAAAGAACGAAATGAGTCATTGTTTGCTCGGGAAAAGCAATTTTCGTAACAGAGAAACGTCTATATTTTTATCGATATAATACCGGTCTATAAATAAAAACTTTTATATAAAATATTTCCGTGCTTACCAGCACTGAGGTACATTCCAGAAAGTAACGAACCAACCCAAGCCGTCTTGCCCTTTCCCTCACCGAAGTAAGTAACAAATTCCCCGAGAAAGACGCCGAATGTATAGGCGATACCGTCCACTATCATGTTGCACATAAACGACGCGAATACCACCACCCAGCCGTAACCACCGTCCGGTGGTGGCGGTATGTCGTGGTACTCGCACAACGAACCCCCTTCATCATCCGGCGAAGCCTCATCGCCACCCGGTGCGTCGGTCCCCGTTAACCTCGACTGTTCCTCTACGGAGTACTCGCTCTCCGTCTGAAAAACAAAAACGAGACACACGGTGATATACTTTGCGTGATTAAAAGTTACTTTATGCCTTGTAAATTACATGGCGTGTAAAGTTTGTTATAAAACGTGTCTTAAACTAACAAGGTCAACACGAGCCTGTACGCTGAATGTTTGTGCAATTATGAATTCATTTTCTACCTCCCATAAATCGTGTAAAATACGACGTAATACGTCGACGTTAAATTTAATTCGACAATTCACATAAAATGTTTGTTTCGCGTCGCGAATATGTGAAATATTCAAATTAGCCCTCCATGAAAATTAATAACTCCATTTCGCAAAATAGACACCTCGGCCAGAAGTCGAACCTGAATTTCCCGTGCGAGAAAAAAAATGTGTGTCTTATTTTCTCCAGAAAATGATCTTTATACGTATCGAGTTCGAAAATAAGCTATTCGTGTTTATTCATATAAGTTGTATACATATTGGTAAAATATAATACAGAAAATGAATAATACGTGAACAACAAATTATGTAATCATAAATTATAGCACAAGAACAAAGAACAAATGAGTAACGCATTACATGTTAGTAAAATATAGCACAAAAAATGAATAATAAGTGAGTATTAAATTACGCGACTCTCACCGCGACCAACGTAACTGAAAACTTTTTCTGCGTTAACAATTTAATTAGGTGTAATTTTGCGTTAACATGTGCTTAGAACATTAGGTGTATCTTTTCAATAATTTTGCAGAAAAACACACGCATGAAAAAAACCTACCATGGCTTTTGCAACCGCGAGAACGCGCGTTGCACTCGCCTTGAGTGAGACTTTGCCGTTTACCTTGAATACTCGGAGAAAAAGACTGCTTTCGTTGTCGATGCACAAACAAGTGCTTATTCTCTAATCATTGACTTACGAAATGGAGTAGATTATATACTACTTATTTTTTATCACCCATAAAGCGATATCGCCTCTAGATACATCGAGATAGAAGTGCGTGTGCAGATAAGAATCAAAATCGACGAAAAATTGAAGTCAGTAATTCGCAATAAATTCGTTCTTGCTTTATTTTTTTTAACACAGACTGTGTTCGCACCGAGATTCTATTTTTTCACACAAATTTCTCAATACGTTATAAAAAAATTCATATAAATTTTATTAATGTATATTTTTGTATGTAATTAATGTATGTAATTGATGTGTATTTTATATATCGCAAAAATATAACGCGCGTTTAATTTTTCGATTTTATTCGCTCTCTTTTTCCTCGGCTTTTCTTTGTACAAAAATATATTTCGAAGAACGCTCGAAAGAAATTACGTTTAATCTTCTTCGCAAAAATGAGTCAGTTTCTCGAATACTCACACGTATACGCACACGTATACGTACACGTACACACACACAAAAGAAAAGAGGAAATCTGAGAATACGCGCATATGCAAAATCGCGCTTGACAACGACGACGGTAGATTTCGGTGATATTGCGATGTGATAAAACGCGCATACGAGTTCTGATGAAATTATCGTGTAACGCGAGATCGAAACCGCCGGGTGCTATAAAATGATCTCATAACGCAAACGCTAGCATAGATATTAAATAGCTATCCGTGACTTAATCAGGCTACATCTATAGCCACAAGGTGATGTGTCGCCCGTATAGAATGCAACGCGCCGCGAGATCACGTTGATAAAGGAACGGTTGTTTTTGATCCGAGAGAGAACTGCGTTCTCCATAATTGTAATTAAGCTTACCACGGAGTGATTTAACACGTGAACACATTATACGAGGAAAAACGATACATCGAATTAAATCGACATTTTCTTGTTAATTTGTTTTTTATTTCTTTTCTCGCGTAATTAGCGCATTTTTTTGGAAAATTTTTATCAATTATCTACAAAAGACATTTTAATAGAAGATTAAAAAAATATTATTTTTGTGTTTGAAAACTATCAATACATTCCAAGTATTTATTTAATCATTTGTGAGCGTGAATAATAGAGAAAATATTACTTGTATTATTGATTGTGGAAAAAATAAAGTTTTTTTTTTACTCATTCAATATCGTTTTGAATTCGTGCACATCGATCAATATTGTCTAAAAATTCATTCAAGTGTTTAATTCGATTATTATTACGTTGTGTGTGTGTGTGTGTGTGATCACGTAGGGTTTTCGTCTTTAATGAAAAAAAGGACGAGCTATTAATATCAGAGATATTAATATCGTGACTATTGAGAAGGGCAATATCGAACTGCGCCCACGCAGCACGATCGAACTCGTTTTGGCATTTACAGGTTCTCATGTTTAAATTATATAAGGCTGTCGAGATGTCACACAACTAATCGGAGTAATGAGCACTCGTGTGTCAATATATATCGGAGATAATTAAATAACTTATAATACACCATGTGTACGTATCAAAAACTACCGTAAAATCATTTTAACGAGCAAACAAATATCGGCATAATTAATCTTACGATTCTGTCTCTTACGCAACGCATTGTTAATACAAGTTTCGCAATAAGCATTAAAACCTGCTCGTTGCGAAGAATTACGAATCTCGATACGAAAAAAGGGAGAGGATTCTACGAACTTTTATTTTTGATTTTTCGACGACAATTCTCGTAGAATCGAACGTGAAATGTTGCATTTTCAATTTCAACGCGGGAGACAAGAAGAGATCGTTGCAGTCCTATAGTCGTGAATTTGGATCAACGACCTCGCGCGTGTTGTCTTCGCGGTCGCAAAGACGAATTTAAATGCATCGCGCGCGCGCGCGCGCTCGCGCTCGCGCGCATGACTTGGCCGAGCGGAAGGTCACAGCTGATCAGCTGATCGCGCGCCGCTGGCTGTCATTCCGATCGCGCCACCCCACGACGATAGGCGCGAAGCTCTCCTTTTTCTCTCTCTCTCATCGGTCTCTTCGCGAAAAGAATCCGACCTTGCCGTTTTCTCCGCTTGGTATTATCAACCGCGCGGTATGTATACGCACTTGCGCATTATTGTAACGCGCGTACACGGGGACACGCAAACGCGTGCGTTTTCTCCTCAATCAGCCGCATTGGACTGTCAAGGCTAAATCACGTGTGTGTCGTCTTCACGCAAAAGAGAACTTTATTCGCGACTGCGCCAGCAAACCAATCATCATCATCATCATCATCATCATCATCATCATCATCATCATCATCATTCGGAGCGGCTGTGTTTTCACCGGGTTAATAGACTACGCTTAAATTGCATGCAAATTGCCGGCTCGCTCCGACTGGATTGCGTAGAAATCGATAGTACCCACGAAATAGAAAGCGTATTGTAGAAAATGAATTGCATTCCGCGTGTGTATACGTACGTAGACCAGGAATTTTGTTGCGAACGTTCTTATGGTGTATCTCTCGAGGAGAGATTGTAAAACGGCGCGAAAGTAAAACGTAACTTTTCTCGGAACGAAAGATAAGATAAAAATATCCTAAAGGTCCTTTCTGAGAAGATTGTTCTGTTTATTAGAATTCTCAGACGTCTCTCGTCGTGTATGTCCGGCGAGTAAGTCACGTATAGCGAAACCAGATTACAGGCTCCAGCAGCTGCAAAACGGAGCAACGGAGAACGGGTGAGAAAAGAAGGAAGGTAGAGAGGAAGGACGAAAGGTGGGACAAGTTTTGCACGCTTAACCGACACAACACACACACACACACACACACACATACATGACTCTATCCTCTCTTCCCTTCTGCATGTTGCGTGTAACTATACAAACCGTACCGAGCTGATTTTGCGGACGCGACGAGAGCCGTACTGGCTGTACTGCGACTTGTTGAGCGACACACGCGACATTCTATTGGAATCGCCTTAAATCGTCAGTCACACGCTCTTCTTACTCTCCGGCAAACTTTCTTGGCCTTCTCGTTCTTTTGCAATTCGCTCGCTCGCTCGCTCTTTCGCTCGCGGTCGCAACCACGTTCTATTTTCGAGCGCGCGGAGACGCGACGCGAGACGCGGCGCGATGCGAGCGACTCGGCGCGCACCCCTCGTGGATTTGTCGCCGCGGATTTTTCCCCTGTATCTTCCGTACACGTCAGTTTTCTTCCGTACACCGCCTCACTTTGTCACTCTGTTCTCTCTTTCTCTCTCTCTCTCTCTCTTTCTCTCTTTCTCGATCCGCCCGTCCAACGTTCACTCGTCGTAGTCCGCTGCCATGTCGTCTACGAATCACACTGACGCTGATACCTACTGCCGCATTCGCATCGTCAGCACTTCTCTGGCTCGCTTAGCGCACTGCCAACGCGCGCAGCGCGCGTTGCGCCCGTACCCGACAACTCCGAGGCGACGATGATGGTGGGAGAGACTTGATACTCTTCGAGGAGAGTGCCCTGCGTAGCACGAGGACGAGAGATATAGGTATCCCCGATATGATATTCTCGATATACGAACACGTCAATTTTGTCGATGAATCAGTAATTTGTTGTGATCCTTTTCAGGTTTCCTGTAAATAATTTTGTTCAAAACGCTTGTTACGTTTGTCTTTCTCACAGACGCGGCGACGCACGTGCGCACGTGCGAAGTGATTCACGTGCTGCGACGCGAACAAAGATGCGTTGTGCGGTACGTCCGCACGACGAACTGTCTTGTTCTCGTCACGTTGTTTAGTCACGTCGATATGTGAATAAAATCTTCGTTTTATTTACGCCACCGAGATTTCTGAATTTTTCGCGGTCAGCGTCGGAATCATCGTCGATCGAACGAATTCTCGTCTGGAGCAACAAGCGTCCTGCCGTACTGTCCCGCGACGATCGTCGCGAACAACGTTTCGTCGCAAATATCGATTCGTGATGCACACGAGTTGCGAGCACGTGTCCGACCGCGAGTGGCTTTTTCTTGACTTTTTTTTAAATTGCGCTTGAGACGCGAAACGCTAATTACGAGATTGTTTCGCACGATTTTGCACAGGGTGTGGTCTTTAAAGAGCAAATTTTTTAATATTTCAACGCTATTTTAATTTTTCATATTTTTAACACACTTTTCGCGGA